AAAATATATAATAATAATAATAAAATTGGTTATAATATATATAAATAAAATAAAGTAAATAAATAAGTAAATAAAAAAGTAAAAAAACAAAAAAATATTTTGTTTTTCTTATTGATATTTTATGTCCAAAAGTAGTTAGTTACAAGTTAGTTGACATGTAATGCAGAGGTATCCAGGTCTGACTTTTTTGCGGCCATCGCCCCACAAAAGTAGTTAGCTTTTTTCGAACAAAATACACAGTTAATAGTTAGCACTAGTGTTCGCGTAAACAGACTAAAGTTAGGTATAAGCNAAGGAACTAGTACGATAGGAACTAAATCCCCACCAGTCCAAAATCGGAGAAAAGTGGTACTTTTAAAAAACTAATTTATTTCAGTTTTTTCACTAGAAATCGATATCTAAAGTGACGAATTTAGAAATGGTTCGGAACTATAGAAAAAGGGATACAGAACGAACTAGATCTTATTTGTCGAATTTAGAACTAATTCGGAACTATCGAATAAGGGATGCAGCGGGGGGCTTGTTTACTTTACATAGATAGGCTTCTATTCTGCGCTTCGCAGATGCTTTTTCATAGCTTGGTAACACAAAACTAAAATTTGTGTTAACATTTCAACATCTTGGGACCGTCTGGAATCTAAGAAATAACAGCGAGCACCTCTGCAAACTCAGCTACAGCTAAAGGTATGTAAACGTACATTTCTTACAATCATTCAAACAAATTTAATTTCAAATTGAAAACACATTTCTTCCAAAATAACTTAAAATTGCACACACGGAAGAACCAAAAGATTGAAAAATCATGATACTTTTTTCTTTCGTCTGTCGATTTCAGAACTGGGTCGGAACTATAGAATTTAGGACTAGTTCGGAACTATCGAAGAAGGGTTGCAGCGGGGGGGCAATTGACACTTCCTAGGACATCGCCATGTTAAATTCGCCAGTTGCTTGCATGCAAAAGAGATTTATCGCGAACCAGTACTGGGTCTAAATGTACTAGAAGCGCCCCAGTTCAGAACTGGAGATTTTCCCCACAGGGTATACATACATACATATCCATATACATACATATATAAACATCTCCATATGTATGTACATATGTATATACATCCACATACATATGTATGTATGTATATGCATAGATATGTATCTACTTTTTTGAGGCATGTTGGCAATGATTTAAACGATGTTTACACCATAACAAAGGCTAACCTTTTGCGTACAAATTTCCATACTACCCTTAACTTTTCCAAGACAATAGAGAAAAATTTGAAGTTGTCTCGATGTTCGACACCCTTTTTCGTTGCTCTGAATTTAAAAGCTACACTGAGAAAAGAGTTTAGTTAGTTATATCCACTAAATTTTTTTCTCTCCACACGTGATTTCGTTAACATAGTTACATTATTTGGTTATAGTCAAGGTGTATTAAACAAGGTCTGACAACAACTCCGGTCGGCTCTCTTTTAAGGTACTATTATGCCAAAAAATGTAAACAAACGATCCAAAATTCATTAAATTTTTTTTTTTCTATTTGACTTTATAGGATGGTTCTTCTGAGAGCAATGTCAAATGCAATCAGTGGCGGATACAGGGGGGCGCGGGGCGATGAAGCCTCCGGCAGAGCATGAAAAAGCAAAATTTCGGATAAAATATATCTATTACCTCAAACGAGAAATTGGAAAAAACAAATTTAAAATTTTTTTTTTTTAATCTTCAATTGTAACCATTTTTTAGGCTTGCACAAGATTATTTATAGAATAAGAAATCGTGTAAAATTCTTCGTCAACGTAAAAACAAGGGGTATGTAGATACTATGAATGTATGTATGTACATATGTCAAATCGAATTTCTGATACTACTTTTTGTCTATTTCCGCGGNTTATTTATAGAATAAGAAATCGTGTAAAATTCTTCGTCAACGTAAAAACAAGGGGTATGTAGATACTATGAATGTATGTATGTATGTATCTACATATGTCAAATCGAATTTCTGATACTACTTTTTGTCTATTTCCGCGGTGCACGTATGTAGGAAATTTCACTTTGAACTGTGTAACCAGACATTTGTATGCGCATAAAAATATTAATGACTTGAAAAATATAATAAAAATTAAAAAGTTAAATTAAAAAATTAAAATTTAAAAGTTTACTTCTCCAAACGCCCTCGCTTGACTTGAATCATGCTAGCGAAGCAGTCAATGGCACTGTGAATATTCTTCTAAATTATAGAGA